CCAAAATAAATAGCAATATCATTGACGATATGATTGGCAACAACCATATCTGGCCAAGAGTCGTTATTGAAATCACCAACAGCGATAGATCGAGGACCATACTTGTAGTCGATGGGCTTTCGGGGTGTTTCTTTCAGCTTAAGTCCACATTTTTGAACTAAACAACACATGTAAAATAATATAAACACTGATTGGTTGATCCCGAAAACTTATCCTACTCATTGAGGTAGGATCTTCAACAGTTGTATACGATAGTATCTGAGAAGCTGAATCGTTACTGCACTTAGACATGAATGAAATATGTCGTCTTTTTAAAGTGATCTCTTTTCAATTCTTAGAATTTAGAGAGATTTAGACATGTGACTTAATCTACCATATTAATTTTCTGTTCCTATTGTTTTCGACTTGTGGTATAATGTGTTGGGAAAATGCTTCATCCTCGACAATGGCAAAGAACATCAACGAACATAATGTCAGTGAAGAATGCAAGGATGTGTGAAGAAATGTGACTGCATGGGATCCTTTTGAAGCTTTCTAATATCTTTTTGTGCATACATATCGGTCAAAGTCTCACTAATGGAAGAATGCTTGACATTGTTACACAATTAACTAAACATGAAAGTTATTCTGTTGAGTAATCCTATGGGGAATTGAATTAGCATTTTCCCCTAATAATTACAATAACCGAATAAAAGAGTCTCTATAACAAGAAGTTAACAATTACGACGAGCATAACTTCCAAAAATAGAGAACTGGATGGAGATCTGGTGATCCGCTCTCTATGCACAAGCAAAATTTCAATATTCATCGATAGAATTTAAAATCCTTTGAAGATGTTTGATTTTTTAGAAGATTTTTACTTTCGAAATAACGGAAAATCAAGACTGGTTGAAAATAATATACAAAAATAAGTTATGAGTTCTTAAAGAATCATATTATCAATCACGATATGTTTATGAATCATATTTTAAAAGAGCACTTGATATTATTGGTTAAGAAATGAACCGTGTAATAAATAATACTCTCAGTTAAATAATTTCATATCGCGATCAAATTCAAAGAAATCTTTTCTCTAAATTTAAGGATGCCGACTCGTTTTAGTGTATCATTTATTCGGAATAATTCAAACGTTATGTTTCTAAATGGATATTATTATTTAATTTTATACATGCATAAAATTTTTTTTAAATCTTTCAAATAAACAAGAATGTAAACCATATAATCTTAGATATACACATCACGTATGATATCAACTAATGAAGATTTTTCTGTATGCTTATAGTGAACAAGTCTTTTGATAAACACAGGAACCAATTGATAGGTAATTGATTAACTAATGGTTAAGTCAATTGTTTCGTTTATTGTAAAGAAATAGATGTTGTCTAGTTGTTAAATCTAATCTCACGACTAATCCAAATCTATATACAGTGCTGTTCACAAATATAGAATCACTGTGGAATTCAGTTTTCTTTTAATTTTTTTTTCTTCTCCATATCACGTTTTCTACTCAAGCCTACTCTATAAAATAGTTTTCGATGTGTTCTTTCAGAATTTACCGCGGTAGATTCTAAAAGAGCATATCGAAAGCTATTGTAAAGAGTAGGTTTAAGCAGAAAAGTGATATGGGGAAGGAAAAAATTGAAAAGAAAACTGAACTCGAGAGTGATTCTATATTTGCGAACAGCACTGTATATAAAGAAGAATGTTTGTTTGTCTGTTCGCTATGCATTTGAAGACCGTACGATCAAATGCTATGAAACTTTCCAGAAATGGTCTTTACACCCAGAGGAAGGTCGACATGTATTTTTTTCCGAAGAAAAACGAATCCTACGCATGCTACAGGTGATCTATGAAACCGACCAATAAGGTTGCAGCATTCCAAAAAATTAAAATAGTTGATAGCGAAGGGGCTCGAAGGCTGTCTGAGCGCTCATATGCAACACTTCACATGCTCCATCTATCTATGTCAATCCTGCGCTTGCTACAGGCTACCTAGGAAACTGACCAATAGGATTGCAGCATTCCAAAAAATTAAAATAATTGATAGCGAAGGCATTCGAAGCCGTCTGAACGCTCATCTATATACATAAAGAAATGTGTCTGTGTTTATTTTACTTACAACAATGACGTATGCATTTTTTCTTACTTACAAAGATGACTTCTTTGTTCTTTTTCATGACTCAGAAATATGACGTATTAACGATATCTATATATACTACTATTTACACAATTTTACTCAATAATCAGCTGTATTATATTCTTGAATACATATGACTTCATTTCTTTGTCATTTGTTGTCTATGATGCCATGTATAACATTCATCCTCATATATATCATATTTTATATCGTCATTGAAATGTTTAAGTCATGCTAAATGATGATGATGATATAGAAATATGCTATTGCTTTGCATCTCTATAAATAGGTATCTTTTTCTTTTGTTTTTCATTAATAAAACTAAACTCACTATAATTAGTGTTTCTTATTCTTCAACGCTTTTAATAAAATCAATATTATATTCTATCACTAAACATAATTGTCCAAAAACAAGCAAGTGTCCAATATATATATATATATATATATATATATATATATATATATGTTAGCGTTGACTTTACCATAGTTGACTTTAAAAGGCAGCTAGTTGGCTTTAAAATATTTCTAAATAGCTAGAAAGAGAACAAAGGAATATTTCGATTTATTTTAAAGTCAACTAAAACAACCAGTTGCCTTTTAAAGTCAACTGAATTTTAGAGTCAACTCCGACATATATATATATATATATATATAAAGAAGAAA